ATGTCTTGCAATAAGAGCAAAATTCTGTAGAAAAGCGCCACCCGAATAAGGCTGTAGCAGTGCGAGCGATGAGTCTGTTTAACGACAATGCAATGTCACATTGGATAGATTCCTTGTTAAGGTTTCACGAAATGAAAAAGATTCCATTGAGCCAAGAGATCGCAGTGATTCCGTTAGTGTTAGTGAAAGTCGTCCTGCACAATAATCCTCCTCTCTCTTGTCCCTCTCACACCGGCCACAAAGGTATCTGTAATTGGTTTATTTTTCTTTATATTTTGTACAGTATTATATTACAGTACAGTATTGTAATCATTTTATATGAATATTTTTGGGCTGTGGAACGAATCATCTGAATTTCCATTATTTCCTATGAGGAAATTTGCTTTGATATACAAGCGCTTTGGATTACAAGCATGCTGCCGGAACGAATTATGCTCGTAAACCAAGGTATTACTGTACTGGCTTAATATTCCGTATACTAGATTAATATTCTGTATACTGTCATCATATTTATGAAAAGAGATTGTAATATGTCCTTAGAAATTGATAGTCAAATCCTATTCCTGCATTACCAATACTGACCACAAGATGGTGCTGTAATGGTCCCAGTCTATGTACTGTAGCAATGTTACATAGTTACATAGTATTTGAGGTTGAATAAAGACATTAGTCCATCAAGTCCAACCTATTAGGATCTCATTTCGGGCTCCAATCAATGAGTTTTTGCTGTATAGATTTTGGCCATAATAAAATTCCTTACTCTTAAATATTGGACGCACTGATGAAATGGAATACATGTTTCATTCTCATATATTATGTTGTAAGAGTGTTAAACTGTGGGTGCACTGAAGGACCCAGTGGGATGGCCAGCGGGCAGACGTCGTGGGATAGCCAGTGGACGGGCCTGTGGAGTGTTGCTGGGGAGCTGTGTAAGGGGCCCTGCCTGTCAGTAACTTTACAAGCCTCCATGAATACATTTCTGACATCAGTCTGCTGCAGGCAGGAGGAAGCATTTCCTCAGTCTCCCCTCCCCCAGTGATCAGTCAGCTGCAGGCAGGAGGAAGCATTTACTCAGTCTCCCCTCCCCCAGTGATCAGTCAGCTGCAGGCAGGAGGAAGCATTTACTCAGTCTCCCCTCCCCCAGTGATCAGTCAGCTGCAGGCAGGAGGAAGCATTTACCCAGTCTCCCTCCCCCAGTGATCAGTCTGCTGCAGGTAGGAGGAAGCA